AAAAAAAAACAAAAACCTTGAACAATTCTCACATGAAAATGTTTTAGTAGGATAAAATGGATCATACAAGTATATGTATCTAATCCCATGAAGAAAAATTACAATCATGAGATAGGGTATTCTAATAATATTGAATATAGCTGATCAAAAAAGAAAAAAAAAAAAACATTGAATACAGTCCCCTCGTGATATATGATAAAACCTGTAGAATAGAACAAACCTATAATACGCTCCATATGACAATCCTTTCTCACTGTAATGTAATCTGTTGGGCTTTGTTCCAACATATAATTCGTCCGGGCCGCCAAATGTCATTGCCCACAGAAAAATAAATCTACCAAGTGTCTCGTTAAAACCTAACCATCAAACTAGATGGGTCTACCGAAACAAGCTACCGATTTAAAAGCACCTAAAGTTTTCACTTGCCCCTGAAGGAGGAAAAAAAAAAAAAAGGTTAAATCCTCAATTTGGTCCCTGAACTAAAAAATTTTTTGATTTGATCCCTAAATTATTATACGAACCCTCAATTTGGTCCTTATTGTTTATCAATTTATCCAAAATTAGTCACTCCGTACAAAAAAAGTTGACGTGTCTAGTATCTAATGGCGAAAAATAGTAAGTTAACGATAAAAAACAGTAATTTAACGGTCACGTATCATGTTAATAACGGTATATCAATTGTTTTTGTATAAAAAGATCAACTTGGGGTAAGTTGATAAACAGTAGGAACCAAATCAAGGATCCGTACAATAGTTCAAAGATTAAATTAAAGAATTTTTTAGTTTAGGGACCAAATTGAAGATCCGTACAATAATTTAGAAATCAAATTAGAGATTTAACAAAAAAAAAAAAAAAGACCAAACATGAAGGGGAAGGGAAATGACTAGACCGTCACCCCAACTTTTTGTCGGCCATAGGCATTTGCCTCTTTCCATGGCTTGAGCAAATCTCCACCGCCCGGCCCACGCTATCCATAAGGCTGCTGCTAGCCAACTTCTATCCGCCAACACACCCACCTCCTGAAAGCCAGTCCTACCACTCGCAAACTCGCCTAAGTCGCCTAATTTGTTGCTACACCTCCACCAAATTCACATCAAGTATCATAAACTGCTTTTAAGTGTCAATCACTAAGTAGTTGAATGATAATTTTTTTTTAGTAAAAGTAAAAAATTTTAAATTTAAATAACATAAAATATAAATACGGAAAATTAAGAGAAAAAAATGGGTTGAGTGTAATTCAATATAAAAAAATAATTACTTTTAAGTTTATCTTAACTCATAAAAATTTGAGTCTCTCATGTCATAAAAATATTAATATTTGAAGTTCAAATGTCAAAGTAAAACCTTTAATTGAGAAGAGAATTAAATAATATATTATCTTTTATCAAATGGTACATAATTAAATGTCAAAAAAAAAGGGGTACCGTAATGAATTTGTTGGCTGATGTCTTGATTGCAGCTGACTCAGATAATGGAGTCTGCGACGATAGCCTCGATCGAGACATGTTTGATGTTGCCAAGAAATTATTGGACCAATTCAAGAGTTTTCAATTCTATGCTACCTGAAAATTTCTTTGATTTGATCATATTTAGATCAGCTGCCCAAAAACTGGAAATGAAAAAGTGTTTTGAGTTTTGACTGATCAATAATTCAATTTTTTAAAAAAATTACCATAAAGTTTGTAAGTTGAACAAATAATTTTCAATGGTCTTCATCACATATTGCATTCATATGGAAACATCAGGAGTCACATCATCTCATAAATTATCTATATAAAACAAATCAACATAATTTCTCGAGCTATGTTATCATCATGCTTGCAAAGACAAAGTTAATTAATATTGATCTATTGATCCATGTATGAAAGCTCAACATGACAATATCAACTTGTTAACTGCTAAAAAGACACCAGTTATCCATGACACCATCCTCCACTTGGATTCAGCAGCATACGTGTAAATCCTAATTAAATCTTTGATTTTTAATTATCTTATTCAATGGTTAAAATATTACTATTCAAATACATCATCAACATTTCTATTCTAATTTAATTTTTGCCAACCCATGATGAATAGTAAAACATCAATTAGAGTTGATATATTTATATA